GCAATGGCTGGTGACACAGGGCCTTTCTGCTTTCACTTGCCCTGAACAGATCGGGCTGATGACAAGACCCTGGCCAGCCTTGCCTGGGCAAGTGGTCCTGGCTCTCATCCCTCTGCTCTACTGAGGCAGGAGTCAGTTCATGACAGGCAGTAAGGAGAGGAGGAAAATTACAAGTTGCTCCCATATTTCAGTGAGAATACATATTAGGTTTTAAAAAAATGTTCAAGTTAAAACTTGAAAGGCAGGAACACTGGGCATGAGAAACAAAGAAGCTTGTAGCTAGTCATAAGCTAGCCAAGTGGACCTAATAGGAGAGAGGCAGGCTCTGAGAAGTAAGGCCAGTGTTGGCGGGCTTGCTGGCTAGGATCCATGAGACCCTCTGTGGAACATATGCTAGACAAAGTTGCTCTTTTAAATATTGCTTCTAAAGCAACTAATTAAAAGAGGTTAAATTGTAAGTGAATACAGTTTCTAAAAGCCTCCATTCATGTCAGGAGAGAACCCAAATTGCCCAAAGGACCAAGAGTTAAACATGAGGGGGTTAGGAACAGTTGTAGTTACATCTGGACAGCTGTGCTAAGTCAGTTCTCCACCATGATGAAGCACAAACCAAATGTGAGAACAAAGAGAGCACCCCCAGCAAAACAACTAGCAGGTCAATGACTAGCAGTTAAGACCAACAGCTAAAAAGGATGAGTGAAGGTGGACTCAACCACCCCTAACGGGGCAGGAAGGACATGGACTGAGCATGATCTTTGTTTAGGCCAGGGAGCATGGATAGTGGGTGGGGCCTTCTAATGGCTAACTAACAGATTACCTTAGCCTCGGCCCCACTGCAATCAGAAATCTCATAACAAGTCTTTACTCAAGGTTCCTCAGGGTCCAGCTGCTTGACCCCCTCTCACCACTGCCAAGAGCTCTGCTTCCTTTTTATGTCGAACCTTTATAAATCTTAGGCCTAGGGCTGGAGAACCGGCCCGGTGGTTAAGAGCACTGGCTGCTTTTGAAGAAGACCCTGATTTGATTCACAGTACTCACATCGTAGATCATAATCAACTTCATTTCCAGGGGATCAATACCCTCTTCTGGCCTCCATGGCTGCTAGCCAAGTATGTGACACATAAACACAGATACAGGCAAAACACTCATACACATACAATAAAATAAAAATAATTGAAAAAAATTTTAGGCCTTTTCCTCACTTTCTTTAATTTCTCACACTTCACAAAATTTTCCTTAATAGAGTTTACCTTTTGCCATGCTTGGTCCTGAGTGTCTGTGTAATGCCACTCTCTCAGGGTGACTTTTGCTGGCATCCTAAGTCCCTGGGACACATCTACTTTGCTCAGAAAGGTACCGTGGAACTCAAAACTATATCGCTCGCTATGGTAGTGCCACCCCTGTTCTTATCCTCTGTGCTACCCAGGAAGCTGTTTCCAGCCACAGAAGCAGAAGGACCACAGAAAGCAATTTGGAATAACTGTTCACTGGAGGCCACGGGCTGTCCCTTCACATGGGCTTACCTTCACCTGTTAAGGGGTAGATAGATGCAAGGGAATTAATCCCTGCCCTAGACACATTTTTGTCACTGCTGATTTTAAAAAGGGTCATCACTAGGTCTTTTCTTCAATTTCATTTGCCTCAATAAAACCCTAAGACACACATTGACTATGATTTCATACTTCCATGTATAATAATTATAGTAGCAACTGATACCATTCAGTGTTTTCAAGTTTCCATAGTATTATATACTACATTGGCTCATCTGATTCCTCTAAGGTACAGGCAGCAGTTATCACCATCACCACCATTACCACATTATCACTACCACCATCCTGCCATCACTGCCACTACCATTATCTTCATCATGATGGTGGTCTGAGTAAGAATGGTCCCATAGGCTCATATTGGAAAGCTTAGTCACCACGGAGTGGAACTATCTGAAAGGATTACAAGGATTAGGACTTGTGGCCTTGTCAGAGGAAGTCTGTCACTGGGGGTGGGCTTTCAGGTTTAAAAAACCCATGCCAGGTCCAGAGCCCCCGCCCCCTCTCTGACTGTTCCAATGCCACGTGTTCCACTATGCTCCCTGCCACGATGATAACAGACTAAGCCTCTGAAACTGTAAACAGGTCCCCAATTAAGTGCTTTCCTTAGTAGGAGTTGCCTTGGTCATGGTGTGTCTTCACAGCAATAGAACAGTAATCAAGTCAATCACCATCATTACCAATACCACTGCCATTATCTCTACTTTACAGGAAAAGATATCAAGTGTCTATAAGGTAAATTTATCAAGCTTTATGGAGTTAAAACTTATTACGTGATTTGAAGCTTATTTCTAAATTTAAATTCTTTAATCTATATAAAATGTATATAAAATGTCAGTTAATTCTGTGAACATGATATGGATTTAAAAGTTTGTGTAAAAGAAAATTAAAAAAACAAAGAGCCACAATCCCATCACCATAAGTCATTTTTACCTCTGTATATGAATCCTGTGATAGGTTTACATGGCCAGGTAAAATCAGTAGCTTCACGTGGCTATGCTATTTGGTGTTACTAACTACAATTAGTGTGTGTGTGTGTGTGTGTGTGTGTGTGTGTGTGTGTGCGCGCGCGCGCGTGCGCGCGCGCATGTGTGCTGGGAATAGAGCCTAGGACTTTCAGCATGTTAGGCAGTGTTCTGACACGGAGTTATAACCCAGCCTGCCATACCTATGTTGGAGAGTCTACAAGACTGACTGATCAGAATACTCTGATTATGGAGCCTTGGAATGCTGCAGATCCAGACCAATTTTCCTTGGGCTATTTTTAGTCCCATTAATATCTGTTCACTGCCACATTTATCTGATCTAACATCCTTGTGACTATTATGTGAAACTTTTTTGGAGGTATTAAGAGATACGCAATAACCACTAACCCAAAAGCTAAGAATGCCATCAACATCTGAAACCTACAGCAGAGATTTCCCCACTCTCTTGCAACCTGCTTACCTGATATTCTGACCAATGTATTTGCAAACTGCTTTGACTTTTGACTTCCTTTTGCTCTTTAACTATAAAACATGGTATTTGGGGCAATGTGAACTCACATTCCTGGGCAATGGTTACTTATGAGACTACAGGGTAAACTATTTGTTCTCTTTGAATTTAAAGCTTTGTTGTCTTAACAGTGAGCATTCTATCACCACACAGCAAACACTGTATCTCAGTAGCTGAAGTCTCAGCCTCAGCTAAACATGAATGATTCTAGGACTGTTTGATGTGGTAACTCAGGCTTGTAATCCAACACATAAGAGGCAGAGGGAGAAGGGTCCCAGCTTTGAGGTCAGTCTGGGCTCTACATGGACTTCTAGGCTGGCCTGGGCTTCAGTGTGAGGCCATCTCCACAAAGCCAAATACAAAACAGAAGACTTTCACCAGTCCTCTGTCCTTTGCCTCTTCTTTCACCTCTTTTTCCTCCTGACCTAGGTGTGGTGATTGGAATGAGAAATCTCACCCACAGGCTTATGTATTTGAGCATTCAATTTCCAGTTCGTGGCACTATTGGAGAAAGTTTTGGAACTGTACAAGGTTGGGGCTTGCTGGAGAAAGCATGCCACTGGCTTTGAGGTTTTACAGCCTTGTCTTACTTCTGGCTGAATATAATCAGCCAGCATCCAGGCCTGCTGCCTCTCCTGCTATATGGACCCCACCTCTCTGAACTTGTAAGCCCAAATAAACCTCGCTTCCTTAAACTGTTTTAGTCACGGTATTTGATAACAGCCACAGCAAAAGTAACTAACACACCAGGCTTCCTCTGGGTGGAAAGAATGGCCTCAAGGAAATTAGGGGAAGGACACAATTTAACTTCAAAGGCACCAAGAACCTCAGTGTGCTGACTTCAGGAGGCACTGATGGTGTCTGTGGAGGAAGCCTTCCCTGCCTACGTCTGGTCTACTCTCTGCAGTGCTGGATGAGGTGCCCGAGTCCCTGGGGCAACCCTAGAGGCTGTGTTAGTCACTCTTTGGCACTGTTTGTCACTGCTGGTATCATCCTCACAGATACTCCAGCCACATCAGTTCTTGGCACATATACCTGCAGAGGTTCTACAGTTTACTTAGCTCATTTTATTCTAGCTCCAGGCCCCGAATCAGCTCTTCTCAAGCCTAGAAGTAAAGGATGGTCTGGGTTTGAACTGGCACCTAGGTGGTGGGCAAACACCTTGTTATGGTTGGAACCTTAATGTCTCCAAAGGCCCACATAACAAAGACTTGATCATCAACCTGGGGCACTGCTGGGAGATTTTGGAATCTTTAGGGGGTGGGGCCTAGAAGAAGACATGTTTCTGGGAGCGTGGCCATGAAGGGGATGATGGGACCTCCTCTTTTTCTCTCTTTCTTTGCTTCCTGGCTGCTATGAGGTGAACAGCTTTTTTTCCAGCCTAGGTTGTTTATCTACACTGAGATGTGGCCTCATCACTGCCCCACAAGCAAAGGAGCTAATCAATGAAGTACTAAAGCCTCTGAAAGAATTAGTTCATACAAACCTTTCTTCCTTATAAGCTAAAACTGACTAACATACACACCCCTCTTCTGCCAGTTCCACAGACAGCTCCCATAGCAAAGGAGCCACAACCTGTTCCCAGTGCTTGACATAGTTCTCACTCCCTCTCTGATGAATGCAGGCAAGAATTCTAAGAAGAGACCTTGTCCAAGATCCCAGGCAGACCTTGGTAGAGTAAGACCCAGAAGGTGGACTGGGTACCAGCAACAGGTGAATTTGGCAAGGGAGAGATCCTCCCCAAGCTGCTCCTCCAAGCATTTCTCACACATGTAGGGACACTCATGAACCAACAAGCTTTGGGTCTGGAAGATGACTCCCAGTCTTCACATGTGAGTTTAGTGACAAGAGCTGTGCTCAGGGGCTTTTGTTTGGACCTGTCAGTCTCAAATACAATCTGCTATATATACAACTGTCCTTTGGGCCAATTTCTGGTGTGTTTTGGTTCACACAGGGTAGGTTATCCACTGCTCTCAGCAGCAAGAGGAAGAAAACCATGACTTTGGATCTAACTCTGACAATAATGACTGCCAGTGTGACAAGTTCTTATTCCAAGGTAATTTGTAGAGATGTCTAAGACTTCACTGTGCTCAGTTTCTCCACTGGAGTGACATGTTCCTATCACTTAGCTTTGGGACTGTATTATGAGTGATTTTAATATCCATGATTTTTGTTGTTGTTGTTACTGATAGAAACATCCTAAATTGTGCTAAGGCTAAACAGTGCTCACCCAGAGTTGCAAGAATACAAGCTTTCCTCTCTATTGGAAAAAAGTGGTATATGAGCCCCTAACATCTTTAGTCCTCGGGAAGTGTCCTGGACAGAGACAGGTCACCAGTGCAATTGATTATAATGCTCAGGGACTAGAAACAAATCCTTTAAGACAACGGAGAGCTCAGAAATGCAGCTGCTATAAATACTCACACATTCAAGTGATGTGAATTACAGAAAGATACAGCCCAAGGAAAGATATGTAAAAATAACTATGGAACAGTGTAAGGAACAGTGTAAGAATGATTTTTGTAAAATTAAACCTCAAAGAAATGGACACATATGCCCACACAGAAAGGTGTCCAAGGATGTTCACAGCAGTAAAATTCACAGCCACAAAAAAGCAGTAAGAACCCATATACACATTAGTCATGAGAAGATGAAGAAATGGTGGTAAAGGTAGCATTCTCATATGGACTACTACTCAGTCACCAAAGAAATGAAGTTTGGACATATGCTACAACATAGATGACCTGGGTAACACTATGTTAAGTGAAAGAACCCAGATACAAAACTCATACATCTGATGAATCTGTTCTTCTGAAATAACTAGAACATGCAGTCTGTACAGACGGGATACAGATTATTGGCATGGGGATGAATAGAGAAGAGGAGAGAATGAGGAATGACTGATTGGTTGTGGGGTTCTTGTATGGTATCCTGAAAATGTTTTAAAATTGATTTTGGTGGTTGCTACACACAGACTACCCTAAAAACAGGAATACATTTCCAATGGGTACATTTTATGGCACGGTGAATCTCAGTAAAGATGTAAAACATGCTAAATGATTTTGCAGTTATTGCTCCAATGTCATCTGGACTGTGTTGTGCTCTGTCACATGGAGCCATTGAACACTTGAAACATGGTTGATCAAAGTTGAGATGCTCTGTAAGTGTAAAACACAAATGGAGTTTCTAAGATTTGTTTTGGATACACTGAGTTAAAAATAACAGAATCCTAGAACTAAGCTTGCCTGATTAAAAAAAAAATATATTGTTAACTAGGTAATTTAAGACTCCATTGCTGGCTTGAATTGATACCATACATTGTATTTCTTTTGGATAGTTCAGATCTGATATCTTTTAAAACTAATTTTTAATTTGTAAAAAGTTTTTTTTTAATTGGCAAACTAAACATTATATCATTTTGCAATTCACCATATTCCCCTTGGCTTTTGTTTTTGAAAAACAAACACGTGAATGAGAAGTTGACACATGTAGTATGGAGAGGGCCTTTATGCTCCTTGCCCTGTTTCAATTCTCCTAGTGGTACATTCTAACAGAACTACAGCACAGTATGCAACCTGGGGAAGTGACTACATTTACACCATTTGCATTTTTCTGTGTATCACCAATCAGCACCTGGTGAGGGGAGCCTGGGGATGCAGTGGGAAGCAGTGTTTAGAGGTTGTTGATTCTCAATAAGATAAATGGGGCTCCTCTAGGAATAATAAAAATTAAGTAGAACCCACATGTAGGCTTCTCACTGTATGCAAAGGGGTATTTTATGGAATCTGTCAATGTTCAAGGAACTGCCCCTTGGAAACAGTACACCCATCATCTCACATAGCCACACTCCTAGCTCAAATTGGGGGTGTCATGGACTTGCAGAATCAGGACACTCAGTGGCCTCATAGACATCAGTCCTGTCTCTAGCTCACCAATCACTAAAGGCTAAAGGAAGCTGTCAGATTTGACAATCGCTGCACATATCCCCCTTGAGGAAAGCCAAAGTGACAAGGTTGTGGGGCTGACTGACAGCTGATAAAAATGACCACCCTTAACTTTTGCCTTTGCAGGGAGAGAAATCATGTGATGATTTTGTGGTCCACTCTGAATGAGCTGTCAGTCCCAAAAAGGAGGGCTTGGAGATGATGCTTCCTTCCTCTTTTTAATCTCCGCAGCCATGTCAAGAACATGTCTTCCGAACCCTCTTTGTTCACAGCACTGGGACATGAAGCACTGTGTGGGAGAGGATCACATTCACTGACTCTGCTTCCCTCCACACTTCTGAGGAGTCCCACCGCACTTAGGGGTTATATCCACGTCTGTAACTTACCATGTACGAACACACATAGAAATAGTATCAAATTGTTGAAAATTCTAAAGGCAAAAAAGCTTTTGTGAGGATTCAGCAGGAAAACTTAAAAGAAAATTCTTGTCGTACTAAACACCAATCAAGTCGTGATGACTGATCATTTTAATCTCACTCAGGCTTTCCAAAATTTTATTTTAAAAACGGGTAAGAGTTGGACAGCAGATTTTGGATAGTCTTTGTTGTCTGGTAGTTGCTGAACAGGCAAGGATGGGAATCCTCTAGAAACAGCAGCCAGACTGGCATGGGTTTAAAGATAGCACAGCACTACCATGACCCATGAAGGCTCACAAGAAGCCCTCCTGTGGCTGGAGTGTGTCTCAGCAGTGAGTACTTGCCTAGCATTTGTCATGTTCTTGCTTCCTCTCCTAGCACTAAAAAGAGGAAGCCAAAAAAAAAAGAAAAAGTTCTCATCCATTCTGCTTCTGTCAGTGATTCCAAGCCTTCCGTTCCATGCAGGACGGATTTCAGACTGCTCTGATACATGGGTCACATAAGAGACTATGATTCATTTGATCTTGGATACTCTGTACACATCAGATATTTAAAAACACACATAACCAATAACCTATTTTCTGTCTCTATAGATCCCCCACTCTGGACATTTCATATGAATGGAATCATTCATGTGTCACTTTCATTTAGGCTGTAGAATGCATCAGCTGTTCATGACTGAGATTATGGTATGGACACCTGGGTGGTTTCCATCTTTAGGCCATTGTAAACAGTACTGCTCTGAACATTTACACACAAGTTTTTGCTTCAATAACTGCTTCAATATTTTGTGGTGTGTGCCTGCTGGTCAGACAGCAGTTCTATGGATAATTTATTCAGAAAGTGACAAGCTGTTTTCTACTCATCAGGACAGGGACATCTCCCCAGGTTAATCTGTCTGGCTAGAACTCAAACCCAGGTTGATTAATTAAGAACAACCATCAATTTTTATATAACCCAAGTAACAACAACAACAACAACAACAACAACAACAACAAGTCCTCCAAAAACCAAAACACCAAATCAGCAAAATTCAGACACTAAAGCTGACTACTACATTAAACTAATGTAAGTGGAGCCTACAGATTTCTTTTAAAAACTTTTAAAGACATTATCATCTGGACCTCTATTTTAATCCTAATTCAAATACACACTGGGAAAAATTATATTTGTGGTACAATGAAAAATGTAAACATTTGCCTATTATTACATTTATTAAAATGGCAATACTCTTGAAGTTATGCTTTAGAAGAATATTATTTCCAGATATATACATATTAAATAATTTTCAATGGAATGATAAAACCTTCCTCAAAATGATATAGGAAGATGTTGGCAGATACACAGGTTAAAAACAGTTGTGGCCATGTTCATGTAACTGTCAAAAGGTGCTGGATGGGTAACATGTCTTATTAGATTATTGTCTTGTGTATATACTCAAATTTGCAGTAACACAAAGTTAAAAAACAAACTCTCAGCTATTGGAAAGCAAGGAGCAGGAGGAAACCCTCACCTCCTTCATTGTGTTCCCAGGACACAGCAGAGCATAGATTCCCTGCAGGTAAGATTTTTATGGTAATCAACTGAATTAGCTCCCTAGGTGGGGCTCACTCTGCATGCCTCAGGCCTTGTTTCCTTCAAAGACAAGACTTTTCTTTTAAGTTTTCCTGCTGAATCCACTCAAAAGCATTTTCTACCCTTAGAATTTGAAATAAACCTGATACTACTTTTTGGGTGTGTCTGTATGTGGTAAGATATGTATGTGCATAACTATATAACTATAACTATAACTATATATAACTATATACATACATACATACATATATATAGTTCTAGGGCACAGCTGTGTGGCAAATGTGGCATGTCCCCATAGGCTCACCTGTTTAACTCCTTGGCCCCCAGCTGGCAGCTCTTTGGGAAGGTGGTGGAGCCTTTAGGAAGTGGAGCCTCACTGCTGAAGGGCGTCCCTGGGGGCAGGGCAGACTCCTAGGCTTCCCAGCTCAGCTGTGCTTCCTGCTCCCTCTCAGCTTTCTGAGTGCAGATGCAATGTGGCCAGTGCACTTCCTGCTTTCTGTACCACGGTGGACTGCATCTCCCTGGAGCTGCAAGCCACAGTTAACTCTTTCTCCCTTAAACTGCCTATCTCAGGGCACATTTTCTTACAGCAACAGGAAAGCAACCAGGACAGTCATCAGCATCATCAGCGCTATGCATTCTAGAGCGTGTCACCCTCCCTAACTGAAACTGCATCCCTTCAACACTGAGCCACTACGTTCTCCTAGGTCCCTGTGGTCACCATTCTACTACTCTAGAAACCTCAGCTATAAGGGGACTCACAGAGTATGTGTTCTTTGTGACTGCTGTATTTCCCTTGGCATAGTGTTTTCAGGCTCACTCATCTTGTAGCTTGTATCAGCATTTTTTCCCTGAAGGCAGACATTTCATTGTGTTGCCAGACCACTGTTCTCCATTCACCTGCTGATAAGACTGTTGAGAATGATGCTGCTCTGAACACTTGTTCAGTTCTCTGAGGTATATATAAAAATGGAGATGTGGGATTATATGGTAATTCTCTTACACATTCTTAGATTTAACCTGTTCAAAGTTTACTGCTGCCGTCTGGAATGGGGCCGGACTGGGGAAGGAGGAGAAAGTCATATGATATCATAGAGTAGAGGATGGGCTTTGAAGCAAAGCTGAGTACAAGTCTTTCTTTGTCAATTGCTGGTTAATCACTTAACTCTGAATCCTCACAACACAGAATGAGATATTACCAGTCTTGTGGAAGTTAGATAGTGTTTACATAATGCCAGTGGCTAGAAGGTGGCATTCAATGAGTGGCCCCACCCAACAGATTCCTTTCTCTGCAACAGCCCTCAGTGTTGGCTAGGGGTTGACTGCCACAGGTCCTTGCCACAGCCTCTCCTAATGGACAGCTACATGGCTCTGAGGACCTGTGCTGTGGGGAGACCAGGCCAACTGTCCTTTTCTCATTTTAAAGGGCTCTTCACAGGAAGACCTTTTCTATCCACTTAAAGTACAATGGTTTTGGGTATATTGATACTTGTGCATATATTACCATAATTAGTATTAGAACATTTTCATTACCTTTGACAGACACATTACACTTGTTACCTGGCATCTTAGTACAGTTTTAATATATATGTTTTCTCAAATAAATGGAAGATTTTAATCCCCATTTTTTTCACTGAATGGTGGCAAAAGGCTGGAAACCAAATCTCACTACCAGCAGTATACAAGGCCTTGGGCATGACTGGATGTCACTGGGTGAAACTCTTGTGACTACACACGTACTTCCTGATGATGTGATCCTGGTGGGGTAGTATTTTGTCAGAGACTGGGCCATGTTGTTTATTTCTAGAACTATGAGCCAAAATATACTTTTTTCATCATTTATATCAAGTAGCCTGACTCAGGAATTTAGTTGTATTATTGAAAAGCTGACTAATACATGACTCCTCAGACTTCTCAAATATTCTCAGGCCCTGTCAATGACTAATCTTTCTGATTCTTGTCTATTCTGTTCATGAAAACAAAACCATAAGTTTATAGTCCTTCATGGATTTTCTTTTTCACACAGCATCATGTTTTCAAAGGTCATCTTTATAACTCTTTTCATCATCAAATACTATTTCATTGTGTGAAAAACAATATTAAACTACTTTATTAATTTAATATTCAGTAATCTGAAGGAATGATGATTCTAAAATATATAATTTCTAAATTGCCACAGAACCTTATATGGTATATGGTAATGGTTGTCTATTATGTAAGGAACCCTACTGTGTACCCCACTCAACTCCAGAGAAAATACAAAGGTGTGATAGAAAGCAAGCTTGTGGTAGATATGACCACGGGCTTTAGGATGGAGATGGAGTAAGAAAAACAAACACAAGTCAACAAAAGTTCACAGTTAAAGAACTGGGACATCATATAGGAGCAAGTGCTAGAGGTGTCAGAGGACAGCTGAAAGCTTGAGCATCCTTTCTTTGAATCTACATGGTCTGCTCTCCACAATCAGGCTAGAACTCTAAAGTGATAAGGTTATACAAGCAGTCAAATGAGGGTTCTCAAAAGAACAATATCAATGCTGAGTGTCTACTACATTCCAGACACTTAAGATAGGCACTTGCATTACAGAAAGTAATGTTTTTTAATATTTAACAATAGGAAATAGCTATTAATGTCTTTTTTTTAAAAAAAAGACTTATTTATTATGTATAGTGTTCTGCCTGCCAAATATTCCTGCATGCCAGAAGAGGGCACCAGATCTCACTACAGATGGCTGTGAGCTACCATGTGGTTGCTAGGAATTGAACTCAGGACCTCTAGAAGAACAGCCAGTGCTCTTAACCTCTGAGCCATCTCTCTAGCCCATAGCTATTAATTTCTATGTTTGATGTATATCCATCTTTTCTTTTGTAGTAGTTATTTTTTTGTTGCTGTGATAAAATACCATAACCCAAAGCAACTCATATTTTATTTTGGCTTATAGTTCCAGAGGGGGAGTCCACAATGGTGAGTATTGCATGAAAACAGCTGTCCAGAACAGGAATCTGGCTGATCACATTTTAACTGCACACAGGGAACAGGAAGAGAGGAAGAGGTAGTGGAGTGGAGGGGTGGGGGGGCAGTGAGGGGGGTGGAGGGCTCTAAACCCTCAAAGCTGTCCACTCCCATTTACATACTTCCCCCAGCAAAGCTGCACCTCCTAAAAGTTACACAACACCCCAAACAGCACCACCAATATGTCCAAATACATGAACCTATGGAAGATATTTCCCACTCAAACTCCAGAGCATCCACATGCTGTGGGCACCTTGGCTGGCCCGCTGCCTACTATGAATGGTACTGCAATGAACATGTGAGTGCAGGCTTCTCTTTGAGATGCTGTTTTCACTGACTTTGGCTCTGTACCTACAGAGGCATAGCTGGGCCATCAGTGGACTGATTTCTAGTTGTTGAAGGAAGCTCCATATTCTTTTCTATAGGCTTCTACTAGCAATGCATGAAAGTGTCCTTCCTCTGCACCTTCATCAGAATTTGTTTGTCTTTTTGATAATAACCACTCTAACTGGGGATGAGACAGTAACTCACTATGGTTTCCATTTACATTTTTTCTGATGACTTCTCATGTTGAGCATTTTTCACATACTTGTTGTTCATTTATATATACATGACAGGGCACCATTAATCCATAAAAAGAATGATATTCTCTGACTCACAGCAACATGGGTGGTACTGGAGGACATTTGCTAACTAAAGCCAGCTAGTCACAGACAGAAAAACACCATGTATTTCCATTCATATGTTGATGCTAAGAGTTGACCCTGTGGGTGCAGAGTAGAACATAGTGGCTATCAGAAGCTAGGACTGGTGGGGTAGGTAGAGCGTTTGGATAATGGGTATGAGCATACACCTTGATAGAGGAGTGAGTTCTATTGTTCTACCACAGTACAGTCACCACAGTTTATAACAATATATCTCAAAAATATGCAGGAGTCTCAATGTTCTTAACAAAAAGCTTATTTTGATCATTACACACTGCACACAAATAAAAAAGTATCACACTGTACCCTGAAAACATGCATAATTATTTGTCAATTAAAATTAAAAACAAAACAAAACAAAACACCAAAACCTCTGTGTTGGAGGGCTAGGAAGGCAAAGGTGTAAATAGCCAACTCTAACTAAATGACGACAGTAAGCGACAAGCAGAACTGGCCAGATAGGCCTGCTAGCCCAGTGCACATGACCTTCCCAGGCACCACAGTGTACTTTCACCTCATTTAACAGAGAAACAGAGTCAAAGTTCAAGCCCTCTCATCACCAGAAGGATGGCAAATGGATTGTTTCTAAAATGCTGGCCAAGACAAGGCAGACTGCAAAATCAGTCAACTGAATATCAGGTCCTACCCATGACAGAGATGACCCTGAACTTACAAAAATTCACCTGGCGCAGGAGACAGAAGAGGGTTAGGTAAAGCATGCCTTTGGCTGGTTTTAAGATGCTAGTATTGACTGACACTCACATGACAATCACAGCTAATATTACACATGACTTTGTTTTTAAAGGTTTAACTGACCTTTGGTAGGATTTATAACATTACCTAGAGGACAAGAAATTTGCACACATATCACATATATCCCCAAAGCACACTGGTGTCAGCACTGAGAACAATATTATATATAGGATACATAGCCTATACAGGCTTAGACAAACAAGGAGAGAGGATGTGGGCGCTGGGCTTTACCGATAAGAAAATTTCCATGTTTTATAGACATTTACATTTGTGGCTGGTGACTCAACACCCAAGGCCTCAAACTGGGCTCAGAAAAGCCACCTAGCTTCACTGACTTGCTCTTGTGTACATGGAAGGCCAGCTTCTCCTACCTGGTTGCTCCTGGGGCTCTTGTTCATTCACCTAAAGTCTGGTAACAATGTAATGTGTAATTCAAGATGATTCAGGTGTCAGATTCTGTGTCATGTGAGCTTTAGCATAAGTAACAATGAAAGAGTGATAAACTAAACTGTAGACACAGACCCTTTCCTTATTGCTCATACCATATTCTGGAAGGAAAGCTTTCCTACCACTACCTTCTACATCTTACATAATTAGCTCCTTAGATTAAAAGCTGATCAGCATGCTTTAAAAATAGCTAGTTTTATACTCAACTTGCTGGTATCCATAGAAATCATATCAAGGACC